CCTGCTTGTTTGACGAAAATAAGCTAAAAATTGCCATGGTGATCAATACGTTGTAGAAAAAGGCATAAAAACCGCAAAATAGAAAGGAAACTCTCTCCCCACCCCCAAAAACCGTTTTCTAAGCAGAAGGGTGGGTTGTAGTCGCGGTGCTTTACCGTTACATCCCTTTCTCGAGTCTTTGGGGCAAACTCAAAGACAAACGGGTCTAAGCGGGCCGAATTCCCGCTACATCATTTGATCATGTTCTTCAGCAAATCGCGTGACAGAAATGGTCGGGCCGCAGGCCCGACCATCGCCGCCGGCAGGCCAAGCAGGCCCGGCTCCTGCCGAACGGAGTTGCCGGCGGAGCGAAGCGGAGCTGGCAACTTCGTTTGGCGGAAGGGCGGGCCTGCTTGTTTTTAACTTTTTTGACCTACCCTCTTTTCTTTGATACCCCGTTTCAGCCCCTTAGGGTTGGTTGTCTGGATTTGCCGTAGGCGTTTCGTGTTCTAGGAGGAACCTTAAGATACCCTGAAAATTTGAAGTCTCCAGCACATCTCCTTCTAGTGGAACAGACAGACAGACAAACACGAGGTCGTTTGCATAAGCCCGCTGGATAGCTTTTTCAAAGCAGAAGGGCGGGCTAAAAAAAGGGAAATAAGAGAAAAGACAGATTAAAACTAGTTTTATGAGACAGAGGTGTCAGTAAAAGAGAAACTTTTAGAAAGTTGAAAAAGAAAAAGGAACACCATGACTGAATCATTAAAGGAAACCGCAGAGGTCATAAACACTAGAAGGAAAGTAAAATAAAAACGAATTAAAATGATAAATGGAAAAAAAAAATGAAATAAAAATGGGCAAGTATGGGAGAGCTAACCTCATTCCTCGTAGGGGCCCGCAGGGTCAAAAGCAAGGGGAATCTCCAGAGGGTCTGGGATAGCTTCCTAAAAGGTAATAAATAAATAAACAGAAAAGAAACAAGAGTAAAGGAAGAGAGAGACCCCGGAATATACATAAGCGGGGCCAAAGCACCACTTGCACCAGTAGAAAGACTGAAGCAAGTCGGTCTCCGGAACATAACACAAGTCGTATATATTCCCAGACAAAGTAACATTTTCGGGCTCCACTTGAGGGGCTCACGGACCACAAATGGTAACATGGTGACCGTTACAGTCCCGAGTGTGATGAAGGAAACGAAACACAACAACGTGAGGAACCATGGCTACACTCTATAAGCTACACGTAACGAACATTCACGTACAAGGAGTAACGAAGGGTGATGGCGGACCGGATGAAGGCGGGGTGACAGGCGCCAAGGCAAACAGCTAAAGGAAAGCAAGCTGAGAAAAAAATAAGAGAAGTAATGAAAAATGAGAGAAAAGAACGGAATGGCAAACAATGGAAAAAAAAACCGTACATAAAAACCACGACCAAGGAAGGCACAAGTCCAGTCGCCGGGTAAGTCCTCGATAGGAGCAGTGGTGGCAAATTCCGTCCATTTCGGAGTAACAGTCCAGGCGGGGTCGAAAGGAATTACGCCTCAACAGCGATGGCAAGTAGACAAACTCACACCGTTACACAAAGACTCGAAAGCCAGTACGACCACAGCTACATGGCCCGCAGGCACATTGATGAAAAAAGCCGTGGTGAGGAATAGAAAGGAGGGAAACAGAGGAGCAGAAGACGAATGGATAACAAGTAAACAACAACACCAGCAGCCTGTAGCCGGTCCTGGCAAGGGATCCGACGCGAGGCTAGGTTGCAGAAGGAAAACAAAAGGGTGGTGCGGGGCCCCCGCTTGTGTGTTGCTGTGGAGTGCAAGTATTGTTTGTGCAGTCTGAAGTGCTTCATTCTTCAAGTGTGAATGCAGTTTTGTGAGGATTTGTTACCTATCCAACGATGCAGACATGAACATCAAGGCACTCACTGAAGGTTCACATTGAAATGCAAGGACAAGCAAGAGAAGCCCCGAGTCGTAAACTACACATTTAATTCCTTTCATAAACTAGGTTCCTCCACAGATCTGAACATGGAGAACAAGCCATAGGAAGCCTTAGAAGGCTGCCAAGCCCAAGAACGCAACAGCCAAGTCAGGAGTCGAACCCGAGTCCCCGGGTTGAGAAGCTACATTGCTGCCTGCTTCACCGCACCACACCGCAGACCGGTGTGATCGAAGTGAGTGCACCCAGGATAGACCTATTTAGCAAACGGTTGCCAATGGTTACCCCAGGGCCAATCCAAGAGCAGCAAGACTCGACCATTCCAGCAGAAACATCAAGTGACAGCAGCCAAGGACACTCAACAAGGACTCATGACCAGTTCCAGATAAAGTAAAGCTAAGTATTTTAAGACTCAGAGGTTAAAAGTAATAAAATAGGTTGGTTAGACACTGGTGTCAGATAGGTGAATAGTTATGTTAGGAGACACCAAGACAGGTTTAATCCCAAAGTGTAAAACTTCAGTATGAAGTTCAACTCAAATACTGTACAGGAAAACATTTGTTTCAGTGAATCACCACTCCTTTTTGACCACGGAATCATCGCAATCTTCCAGAGATGCCCAGGAGTCTTCAAGGAAACAACGATCTCAACAAGATTTAATCAAAATATAAACAGACGGATCTCCCGAATCTGACTCTGTGAACAGGAACCGCTATTACCGCCAATTCCAAGTGTAATGGTCTGAACATAAGTCAAGGCTACTCTGATTATGTCAGAGAGGAGTTGAAGTCAAACTTTCTTTTTGTTTGCACACTAAGTATGGACTAGTAGGGTTGAATAACCTGTAGGTTCAGTACAAGGTGGAAGTTTCAGGTTTTCAACAGTTTTATTAGCTTTAGAAATTTGTAAAGTGTCATGGCAAGTGGGTGCGCGTAAAAAGGAGGCTGTTTAAAGAGGGAGTAATGTAGTATGAGGTTTCATTAAACCTCTCATAGAAAACCATAACCTAAGCTGTCAATCTAGTCATAACATAACAGACGACTGCAGTTGTTTGGTCACAGCCTACTCGACTCTTACCCTTTGGTGGCGCCACCTTCAAACCCAAACCTGACACTAACTCCTATTATTGTTTTACGATCAACACGTTATTGTGCACCGCAATGCTCGGGATCTTGAATAAAAGCCGGCTGGAGCCCAGGGCTCTTCGCCACACTTCCATTTGACTTGGACTTGTAATCACTCAGACTTGGCTCGGCAAAGCCAAGCTCCCAATACGACAATGTTGCCTTTTGTTTCAACACAAGAGAATGAAGATCAAAATGGTCAATCAGCAAATGGTACCTGTAATGAAACAAGCAGGCCCGCCCTTCCGTGAAACGAAGTTGCCAGCTTCGCTTCGCTGCGCCGGCAACTCCGTTCGGCAGGGGCCGGGCCTGCTTGGCCTGCCGGCGGCGATGGTCGGGCCTGCGCCCCGAACATTTCTGTCACGCGATTTGCTGTAGAACATAATCAAATGATGTAACGGGCCTTCGGCCCGCAAAGCCCGTCGTCCTTAAAATTTGCCCCGTAGACACGAGAAAGGGATGTAACGGTGAAACACCGCGACTACAACCCACCCTTCTGCTTAGAAAACGTTTTTTGGGGTGGGGGGAGGGAGTTTCTTACCTCTTTTGCGGTTTTGGGCCTTCTTTTACATTTAATTGTTCACTACAGCAATTTTTAGACAGTCCCTTGTGGTCTGTCTCTACCCGAAGGTAAAAGTTTCCCGTTTTGATAAATATTGCCGGTTCTCGTTATCCAGTTTCGATGAAGGTAACCGATTGATGTTCCAGTTCCAGTTTTGATAAGCCGATTGACGTTGATAAAGATTCGTCTCGCTATAATATTAGGCT